ATTGCTGCCTGTGGGGCGTTTACCCACCACCCCCACAGTTCCCCAGAGTTTTCTTGAGTGCAATCAGCAGGAAATATTAGATAGAAGGATTTATTGCGGAGAATATCGCGGAGATAAACAGATAGAAAATAAAGGATAGCCTCGAGAGGGCCTGGAACCTATTCCAACAGGCCCCGACTGTCTCTGGCCCAGGGTTTTTATAGAGACACCAAGGGGGTGGAGCGAAAGACCTCCTCCCCCAGCACAGCCAAGTGCAGACCATCTCAGACACCTGCACTCAGGCCCGTGGTCCTGATCATCCTCTATTCGGACCTGCTGGGTAAAGCCACGAGGAACCCGAGAATGGGCTCCCACAGCTGCCTACCTGTGCTCTCCTCTACCTATATGTATATGTACAATTCCACATTTTGAAATAGCAGCTTCTTGACGTACAGCTCCTTGACTTAAGATTTAAGCACCCCTCTGCCCTGTACCCCCAAGGAAGTAGAAGCTAACCTGCAGTCTAGTTTGTGGAATTGATGAATCACTGGACAGAAAAGATCTTATTTATAATGTTAACTTATTATTGTATGCTAGTTTGTTTGTTCACTTGCTACAAACTAGAGTCACCTGGGAAAAGGGAACCTCCAGTGAGGGATTGCCTCCATCAGGTTGGCTTTGTAGGCAAGTCTGTGTGCCAGCCCACTGTGGGTGATTGCCGGCGGGGCCCCCCCCCCAACAAGTAATTCTGGGTTGTATAAACAAGCAAGTTGGGCAATCTTTGGAAAGCAAGCCAGTCAGCAGCTTTCCCCCATGGTTTCTGCCTCAGTTCCTCCATCGAGCTCTTGCCCTGACTTTCCTCAGCGGTGAACTGTTGTCTGGAAGTGTAAGATGAGATAAACCTTTTCCTCCCCAAGTTGTTTTGGTCATGGTGTTTATCACAGCGACAGAAACCAAACTAGAATTTGTGTATGTGCATGATGGAGGAGGCAGCTCCTGTGCAGTGGTGTCTATGTGGAGGTTATAGGTCAACCTCATGGGGTTGGTTCCAACCATCCACCTTTTTGTGGGTGGGTTCTGTGTGGCAAGCAACTTCATTCACTGAACCATCTTGATCACCCTGGGTATGTACTTTGTTGTTCTCTAATTTATTTGTCTGATTTGTTTTCATGATTGTACTTAAAAACAACAACAAAACCAAACATTTCTTTTCAGGTTTTGGATCCCAGGACAAGGATGATTTTATTCAAGATGTTGGATAAAGGAGACATAGCAGAGATCCATGGCTGCATCAGTACTGGAAAAGAAGTGAGCTTTTAGATCCATGAGTCTGTGAAAGACATAGCTCATTCACACCATCACAATTAGCAACTCATTTTGTGGGAGTTAATTAGATGTAAGAAAATTACCATTAGAGATACATGTGTGAAACCAATTACACTTAAATTGGACTTTTCTATATACAATATGCCTCATGTAACAATAGGCTACATTTAGAGGAATGAGTCGTTAAGCAGTTTTGTGTAGTAGAAAAATTGTCTATGATATCACTATAGGTAATACAATTTTATGGAACCATTCTGATATATGGGGCCCGTCAATGACCAGAACATAACAGGGTGGCATATGAATGCCACCTGGAGGTATATTAATTGTGATACAATGTTTCATATTTTAATTCACACCTTTAAGAGATGGCAGTGATACAGATGTTGTTTCAGTTTACTTTTGAGCTTAGAATCAACTGGAAAACTGACATAAGTTACTTAACACATGCTTCATTTCCTTTGATTTTGGTTAAAATAGGCTAATGTATACTATGCTAGCACAGCCAGTGGAGAGAGCAGAGCAATCAAAATATACAAAACTTCTATTTTGGTGTTCAAAGATCGTGATAAGTACGTAACCGGGGAATTTAGGTGAGTCCAGATTCTTGAATTCCTTTTTCCTCGAGTGCTAAAATAGTATAATGTAGAGACTAAAGGAACACGTTTTCTTACTCTAGATTTCGTCGTGGCTACTGTAAAGGGAACCCTAGAAAAATGGTGAAGACATGGGCAGAAAAGGAAATGAGGAATTTATCCAGGTGACTTGGGGGTGTGTGGGGTGGGGGTGGTGCACACGCTTACCTGTGTCTGTCTGTCTGTGTGTCTGTGCTGTGCCCTTTCCACAGAGTGGGAGGCCTTAGGCCATGGAGCTTATTACATACGCTTGACCAACTGAAGAGTCTGATGCCATGTGAAAACATGGGGGATTTGTTTGAGGGAGATAAGGCTTTTACAGGAGTTTAGACAGTAGTAAGTGACATGGCGATGATAATGCTGTCATTTAAACAAATTACAGGGCTTTTAGATAAATTTTGTCAGGTCCTAAACTCCTTGCTAATTACTTGCTTTTCTTACTCAGTCCAGTTTGGGACACATTCATGAAGTCATTTTGCCGTAACTACTGTAAAGAAAGGACATTTACCTAGTTTTCTCAGTTTGTGGAGTTTTCTTTCCCCTTTCCAGTGTCTTTTAACTTTTTATGTGATATCCATAAGTATAGTTTGCTATTAAGCCAGTACCATTTGGTTTGGAAGTCCTTTGAAATCTTCCTGTAGCCAGCTAACCACTAGGTCTGTGTACAGTGATTTTATTTTTGGATTAGTAAATTCAAAAGATAATTGTCGACTTAGCTGCTATGTCTCATCAATTCTAAGATGTACTTTTTTATTTTTCACAGTTTAACACCTCTAGAAGTGGATTGGGTACCACAAGTTATGGGATTTGATAGTTTATCAGAGTTTTGATGTTCTTGGTGGCACATACTAGTGCCACTTAAAACCACTGGTTTAGGAAAAGCGATATAGTTGAGAGGACTTGGTACTGTTTCCTAACAGCAGCATTCATAATTTGTTTATATGTCTTTTGACTTCCAGTTGTCCTTTTATCTACATCACAGGCTAAGTACAGCAAACATACCATGTCCAAAACCAATCCGGCTAAAAAGTCATGTTCTTCTCATGGGCTTCATTGGCAAAGATGACATGTAAGTATATGGAAGGTCAAAAGATTTCATGGTGAAACTGTATCTTAAGCCCAGTGAGCTCTGTACTAGTAAGTTTTCTCATAGTTCCTTTCGTGAGCGTTTCCTGCTGTGTTAGTGCATAACTGTTATGGTTTACCATTGTGAAGTTTCATGGGGCTTCAGAATAACAAAGTTAACCTTGTTTTTGAGGAATATTTAATTTCCTAAAGCTCTGGAAAGTACCTGTAATTGTCAGCATTTTGGAGTGGCATCCATTATCCCATAGTCAGTTCACATGACAAATGGCAGAAGAGAGGTGCATGTAACTGTAGAATGAGGTGAGAAAACTTGCTAATTTTTATCATCGTTCTTATTTATTCGAGGCCCGCACCACTTTTGAAAAATGTCCAGTTGTCAGAATCGAAGGCACGGGAGTTGTACCTGCAGGTCATTCAGTACATGAGGAAAATGTATCAGGATGCTCGACTTGTCCATGCAGATCTCAGTGAATTCAACATGCTGTGAGTGATTTGTTTCCTAGAAAATGCCCTTTTATTATTTTATGTCCTTTAAAAAAATTCAAATCTATAAAGTCATACTGTTTTCTGTTGGCTTCCCCATGGTAGGAAGTAAGATGTGGTCACTGCCTTCAGTGACCTTAGTCACAGAATAGACCACTGTGAAGGACTAAGGTTGTAGCTTGGTTGGTAGAACAAGTGCCTCGTATGTGCATGTGAGCCTGTGGATTCCAGCCTCAGCCCCACATGGTGTCGGGACGGGTGCATTTTTAGCTGACTTAATGAGCTTTGAAATTTTCTCAGTGTTTATCTTTTTATTAGTCAAGATAGCCCTTTTTTACTGCTGTAGTCATTTATGAATTACTTAAGGTGAATTTTTTTTTCTTTTAAGCCAGATAGAGGCATACCTGGAATCTCAGCACTTAGGAAGCTGAGGCAAGATTAAGAATTTGAGGCTAGCCTGTGCTACATAGAGAGACCCTATTCAAAACAAAGAACAGAATAGATTTTTATTTATTTATTTTTTTTTGTTTGGCTTTTTTTGGACACAGAGTCTCCCTACATAGCTTGACTGTATTTTGTAGATCAGGCTGGCCTCAAACTCAAAGAGATCCACTTGCCTTGCCTCACGAGTGCTGGGATTAAAGGCGAATACCACTACACCCAAGCTGAAAATGTGTAGCCCAGGCTGGCCTTGAATTCTGGCCTGATCCTTCCACCTTTGTCACCTTCAGCAAATCCTGCTGGTGTGTGCCACCACAACCAGCTTCAGAATAGTTGGAAAAAAAAACAACAAACAAGAATCTAGTAGTAACTTCTAACCTCTGTTCATTGTCCACAAGGTACCATGGTGGAGATGTGTACATCATTGATGTTTCTCAGTCTGTGGAGCATGATCACCCACATGCACTGGAGTTCTTGAGAAAAGACTGTGCTAATGTCAATGGTGAGTAGAAAGGGGCATTTCCTGACAGCGTGCGTCTGTGCGTGCATGCATAGGATGAGGTCTTGTCACTTGAGTGGGAATGTAGTCGGGCATTAGAACACTATGTTTGCCTCTCACCCGGAAGACCTTGCATTTGATCGCCAGCACCAATAAACAAGTCTCGTTTAATTGCCAGTACAGTGCCACTTAAACCATTGGCTGGAGATGGTGCATTTTTCCTTCCTTTTCTGTTTCCTAGTTGGAGTAGTAACGTCCCCTTGCAGAGCTGTCATTAATGGCTTCCTTTGACAGATTTCTTTTTCAAACATGCTGTTGCTGTGATGACCGTTCGGGAGCTCTTCGAGTTTGTCACGGATCCTTCCATCACCCCTGAGAACATGGATGCTTATCTCGAAAAGGTAAGATGGGCTGAGGAGAGGAATAAGTATGACTTGCCTTGTGTGCACATCTGGGGGACTTGGGTTGCCTAGTGTAATTATTCATTTCCATAGCCGCTTAGCACTTCTCATTCCACAGTGAAATTAGAGACAGCAAAGATGTCAGGAAAGCCAGCTTTCTTGACCTTACTCAACTGGCAAGATTACAGAATGTCAACTTCCATGAATGTTTAATAAGAAAACTGCCAGGGCATGTGGCAAAATATGCATGCCATTAAGTGCTAAGCATTAAATGCATTTCGGGTACTGTGAAAATCATTAGTTTTCTATCTGTAGAACTTTTTTTTTAAATCATCAAAGACTGAAACTGTGCTTACTAAATCCCCCTCCCCCCAGCTCCTGGAAACCACCATTCTGGTGTCATTGAGCTGCTCTTGGTGCTGCTAATCACACACTGTTTGTCCTTTTTTATTTCCTTTAGTTTAAAGTTTTTCATTTTTTATTTTCATGTATATATGTGTGTTTCTGGGACTGTGTGCTATGTGTGCAGATGCCCAAGGAGGCCAGAAGAAGTATCTTGGATCCCTTGGAATTAGACCTGCCGTGGTTATGAGCCACCTGAATTGAGTGCTGGGAACCAAACTCGGGTCCTCTGGAAGAGATGCAAGCACTCTTAACTATTGAGCCATCCCTCAGCTTCTTGTTTGACCTTTGTGGCTTATTTTGCTCATCGTGTTCAGTGCTCATCTGTGTTCTAGTGTGTGACAGGATTTCCTTCCTTGTTTAAGGGTAATAGTCCATTTGTATGGACCATACTTTGTCTATGGTCCCATCTGTCAGTGGACATTCGGGCTCTCTTCCACATGATTCCGTTATCATGATGAATCCGGTGAGAGCCCATATGAGCATATAAATGTCTCTTCAATCTGGGGCCTGTTGACTGTACTGTTTTCCAGTTCTGCTGACACCGCAGGACTTGCCGTTTCTCTGTATCCTGGCCCGCACTGATTACCCTCTCATTGGGGAGCCGTCCTAATGGGTGTAAGGTGGCATCTTGGTATGAGTGTGCTGAGTGTTCCTCTGATAATGAGTGACACTAAACACCTTCTCATGTTTCTCCTGGAGAAACGCCTGCCTAGACTGTTTGAGGCAGGCCATTTGTCCTGGTGTGAACCTGGCTGCTCACTTTTCGTCAGTCCTGAGCGGCGCTATTCTCCAGCCTGTGCATTGCCTTTTCCCCTCTTGAGTGCGCCTTTGGCCCCCAAACAGATATTTTATATTTTGATATAGTCCATTTATCTCTTGTTACTCTCGTCACTTCTGGGTCAGGTAAGGGTTTTCCTATTTCCCCTTCCCCTGGAATGCCTTTCCATCTTGGCCTTTGTTCATCCTGCTCTGCCTGGCAAAATTTAAAACCCAGGTCAGAAACCTGTCTCAAGGGAAAATTCAGGAGAAATACTGTTTTCAGGGGTATTGTTTTCTCTTAAAAATTTTTTTTGAGTCGGTTTTTCCTGTAACCAGGCTGCCTCAAACTATATAGCCAAGGATGAATTTGAATGTGTGATTCTCCTGCCTCTGTCTGCTGAGTTCTGAGATTTTAAGTGTGCACCTCTACACCAGTTTCTACAGTGCTGGGATCAAACCAAGGGCTTGGTGCATGCTGTGCTGGCATTCTTAACTGAGTACATCTCCAGCCCCTTTATTTGGTTGGTTGGTGTTGTAGGATATTATTTCAAGGTGTGTTACTTTTGTTTATGCTCTGGAACCGTTTATGTTTAATGACGCATAGATGTGTTTGATTAAATAAAATTCACCTGCAGTCAAGAGTTTGCGTCAGCAACTGACAGGAAGTGGTAGGGAGGAGCCAGGTGAGAAAGGGTTTATAGAGAGGGCCGAGGAGACGCATAGGGCTTTTTGGAGGACACGATCAGGGAGAGGAGGTGAGCTACTTGTCCAGCCTCTCTGAAGAGCAGAATTCCACTTTAACCTTTGAATCTTGAGTTCTTTAGAGGGACAGAGGTCTAGTTAAGTTCCCTTCATAGCTTTGCAAGCGTTGAAGCCGGAGGGAACGGAACTCCCTCTGGCTTCAGCCCTTGCGGCCTGGCCACTGCTGGCAGCAACAGAGTTGCGGTTGCTGATTCGGACAGCTGTGACTTAAAAGGCAGCAGCCATTTAAAAAGACAGCAGGTGGGCTTGGTCTCTTTTTGGGGTGTTTGTTTCTTTGGGCTAGGTCTTATCTGTAGCCCAGGCTGACCCGACCTTATGCTCTTCCTGCTGCTGCCTGCTCAGTGCGGGGGTGTGTGGGGGGGTCCTAGCTGTGCACCGCCGTGTGTGGTAGGTTATGAACCGTTGAGGGACAGACATTTTATTTGTGGGTTGTCAGTACCTGACTATGTACTAGGCAACTAACTACCTGTTGTCTTAGTTAGGGTTTCTATTGCTGTGAAGAGACACCATGAGTTAGGTCTGAGTGTGAATGTGATGCCGGTGCTGGGATGTGGAGCTTTGGATAGCCCAGGCCAGTGTTCCACCACTGAGCTGCACCCCAGTGTTGATCTGGAAGAAGGGGACTAAAGGTACCTTGAGACTAGAAGGATTTATTGTTTCTTTTTAAATGACTGGCAAGTCTTTGGTAGAGAGCCAACCGACATTGTAGATGCTTGTTCTAGGTACTTTGAGAAGTGTGAAGACATGACACCTATTAAGATTAAAAAAAATTCATTACAAAATAAAAACTGTCTTTTCTAGGGTGAATGTAAAGGAAACTAACTTTTTGATTTCTCTCAAAGGCCATGGAAATAGCATCCCAAAGGACCAAGGAAGAAAAGACTAGTCAGGATCATGTGGATGAAGAGGTGGGGTTATTATGTATTCACAGCCGTGGGGAGTACTTGTGGGGTTTGCTGTGGGACTGTGGGGTGTTCTGTCGTGTGTTTGAGACAGGATTTTTTCATATAAATCAGGCTGTTCTAAAATTTGATATGTAGTATAAATAACCCAGCCTCAAAGTCACACTCATTCTGCTTCAGCTGCCTGATTGCTAGAGTAACAGGTGTGTGCCACCATTCCCAACTAATTCTGGTGTTACAGGGCTTTTCCTGGTTTTGTTTTTGTTGGTAAAGCATGAACTTGATTTTATAGATAAATGGCATATAATTTACATTCAATTATATTGTTACTCAGCAGCCTCTTTGCCTATTTTTTAGGTAGTTTTGAAAGAGCTTGTGGGGTGTGTGAATCAAGAAGGAAAAGATTTAATTTTCAAGTATGAATTTTTAAATGACCTACGTACTGATTCTATAACTATAACAGACTTTAAATATTGACACTTTGTTAAAAAATAAAATCAAACTAGTCCTAAGAAGTCAAGACATTTTTATTAAGGTCCACAGTAAGCTTATTATTACTATATTTGTTATTATTGTAGTTTATTCTGATCAGAAGTTTTGTAGCAGCTGGGTGGTAATGTCCTGCATTGTAAGAATAGATGTATGTGTTCAATTGCTTACAGGCAGGCAATCCTTGCTAACTATAACTCCATCCTGTCCTTCCTCTCGGAAAATGTTTTTTGAGATTGAAAATGTATGAGAGGAGCGTTATTCTACGGATCATCTGGAATAGACTCTTTTCTTCCTTAAATCAGTTATAAAATTTTATTTTTATCTTATCAAATTGTTTTTAGCTTACCACATAGCAGAGACAGTACCAGTGGGTATACAAGCTGACTGAAAGTCAGTGTTGGAAATGCTAATACAGATTTCTGCATGATTAATAGAGCTGAGGCTCCTGAAGGGATGGAGGGGAATAGGAATGGTAGTTTAATTTTGCTTTCTTCTGTTAGGTGTTCAAACAAGCATACATTCCCAGAACCTTGAATGAAGTGAAAAATTATGAGAGAGATGTGGATATAATGATGAGGTTGAAGGAAGAAGACATGGCTTTAAATACTCAACAAGATAATGTGAGTAGCTTGGTTTGTCTACAGAGCCAGTCCTAACAAAAGAGACTGTCCTGAGCTCAGTCCTGGCTTGGTGCTAGTGAGATGGTCAACCCCTTTGTATAAACATGCTTCCATACATGGTGGCTGTAAAGGGAATACTCCTGGATTTAAGGGGCGGGGAATGATGCATTTGCATGCGTTCAGAGAACTATAACTCATAAAAAAAGCAGATTCACAAAGAAGTCTAGGATAAAAATGATTGTAGTAGATTGATAAGCTATGCTTCATTTCCACACACATTTGAAGAAATGTTTAAAATATGTCATTTTTAGTCATGTGTGTATGTGTGGGGGTGGTATGTGCACATGAGTGAATTTGGGTGTCCTTGGAAGCCAGAGGTGTTAAGTCGCCCTGGAGCTGGAGTTAAGAGGGGATTGTAAGCCTCCCGCACAGGTCCTCGGCAAGAGCAGAACAAGTTCTTAGCCACTGTGCATCTCCAGTCCCCTTGGAATAGTTGTTTGTTAATGGACCAGAAAGTAAACAAACCCTTGAGGCTTTGCAGCCATGTAGAAAAACTTAGGTGTTTATGTAAGTTTTTAGAAAGGTAGAAGAAACGGCCTCCAGATTTTCATGCATGAACAACAAAAGCATTTACAAAATTCTTGCTATGTGTGTTAGATGTGTGCATGAGAGTGTGTGTGTGTGTGTGTGTGTGTGTGTGTGTGTGTGTGTGTGTGTGAGAGAGAGAGAGAGAGAGAGAGAGAGAGAGAGAGAGAGAGAGAGAAAGCGCGAGCGCGAGCGCGCGCACGTGCCATGGTGCCTCCTGCCGTGGTGCCTGTAGGAAGGCCAGTGGACAGCTCTGTCGAGTCCCTGTCTCCACCTTTGTTTGGCTTCGGAGGATTGTAGTCAGGGTGTCATGGCAAGTGCCTTTATCTACTGAGCTAGCTCTCTGGTCTAACACACTTTAACAACGACAAAAAAAGATTTATTAATTATATGTCTGTGTGATCGCATGTACACAGAAAAGGTTGTTGGGCCCTTGGAGCTTTCTGAGTCATCAAATATCAGTGCTGGGATCCTAACTCTGGTCCTCATGATTGAGCAGCATGTACTCTTTATCACTGAGCTGTCTTTCCAGCCCCTTGAAGCACTTTCAGTCATAACTACAACTTTTGCTATGTGGGTCTACTGATGAGAGCAGAATAGGATTGTTTGTGGACTGGGTAACATTGAAAAAAGTGCAAAGTTAGTATTTGCTGTCACGTGGTGGGTTACAAGCTCATCTGAACACTATCAGGCTTTGATTGTGTTGGGCCTGGGCATGCATACCTGCCACATAACAGTACAAGCTCCTTTCTGTGTTACTATGTGATAGATTTTGAGTACATTCTCAAAATCACAGTGTTTAGTCCAGTGTTCAGTGGTGTAGTATGTACATATCATTGTTAATTTTTATATTTTTCTTTCTCCTTTTTGTTACAAGATTCTATACCAGACTGTCACAGGATTGAAAAAAGATTTGTCAGGCGTCCAGAAGGTATGGAGAACATGTGTTACTATTGCTTTATATATGACACATTTATTATGTGTGTGTGTACTCATAAGTGTGCCATAGCACATGTGTGGTGGGTTACCAGAGGACAACTTTGGGGAGTTGACTCTACACCTCCTAGGTCTTTGGGATCCAACTTAGATTGTCAGTCTGCCTGATGAGCCATCTTGCCAGCCTGTGGAAACTATTTTTAAAAGATGTAAAACTTAGTGTAAAATAGTATTAGAATTAAATTTGGAAATGAACCTATTTTTTCTGTCCCTGAATTCAGTTAAAAGTGAAATATTTGTCTTTAATTCTGAGCTTCATTGGTCTGGGGTATTACTGGTAGCCATACCCTGTTTTTGGTAGTTTTACAATCAGTTTTGAAACATGTCAGGGCTGGAGAGATGGCTCAGTGGTTAAGAGCTCTTGCTGCTCTTCCAGAGGACCTGGTTCAGCTACCATCACTCACCCACTTACCTGTAAGACAAGAAAATGGAAAGTTCAAGGTCAGCCTGGACTATGTAATGAGATTCTGTTTCAAAAAAGAAAAAGTTGAGTAAATGTGGTAAATTTCAGGGAAAATGAAACTTTCTCTTGGTTGACTGTTCATTTCATAGAAAAAGTTGTGAAGTCACTGAAGTAGATCTTTATTATTGTTGTTGTTATCATCATCATCACCATTATTATTATTATTTGCCTCTGTATTTCACATCCTTTCCAAATCCCATCCCAAACATTTGGCTTGCTAAAAGTAGCTGCAGACTTACGTTGTTGTTTTAGGTCACCCATATAACCCTAGTAATCAGGCATGTGCCCAGCCTTTGGCAGTGGACCACATGTGTGCCAGGCTAGCTGTGAATATAGCCCCACACATTTGTAGATGACAGCATCATGTTGTAGTGTCAAAATATTGAACACCTGTGCTAGTTCCTTTATTTGCATATATTCATACTGGTATGAAGGGATGCTGTCCATCTTTCTCTCTGTTGATTCTGCTATTTTGATGTTTCAGTACATGACTTTAACATGTATCTGGCATGCTGATATAAAATGGTGGCATTGACATGTTGACTAACAAATAGATAAGTAATTGGCTTCAAGTAACATGGTTCTGTAATAACTTTAAGGTCCCTGCACTCCTAGAAAGTGAAGCTAAGGAAAAGACTTGTTTTGATTCAGAAGATGCTGAAAGTTCCGAGTGCTCTGACACAGACTCTGAAGAGCAGGGAGAGAATGCCCAGTGCAAAAGACACACTGCTGACCCTGACGTTGATAAAAAGGTTAGCCAAGGTCTTTATTCTTCTTGAGTGTGGAAGCTCTGGAGCATCGATAATGCCTCTTTTGTTCTTGTTTGGCTTTTTTTTTTTTTTTTGAAACAGGGTTTCTCTGTGTGGCCCAGGGTATCCTGGAACTCACTCTGTAGACCAGGCTGGCCTGGAACTCACAGAGATCCACCTGCCTCTGCCTCCCAAATGTTGGTATTAAAGGTGTGGGCTACCACTTCGGGCATCAATAGTGCCTTTAATTGTAGTTTCATAACTAAATGTGAACTTTACTTTTGGAGTAAATTAGAGACTTGGCTGCTATTAGGAGCTTCTTCAATATCGCACAGAGAACAGGTTATGTCTCCTACTAGAAGCAAATATTTGTTTCTTTCTAATCTTTATTTCTCTTAAAATAGGGAGTTTGTAAACATCAAGTAACATACAGGGATAGTGATTTGGACTCTGCAGTTTCAGCAAAGTTCAAGGGTCAGGATGTAGTTCAGTGGTAGATGGGCTGGGGTTGGGGTGGGGGACCAAGAACAGTCTGGACAACAAAGTGAGACCCTCTTGAGGGATGGAAGAAGGCAGGGGTATTGGGGTGGGGATGCAAAGAAGTGAGACAGAGGGAGCCGCAAAGAAAAGTTGTACCCCACGTTTCACTAACTTGTAATTGTTATTTTTTATACTACATTTACTTTTATCCTGTTAACATAAGAATTTTAATTTAATTCTAATAACAGTTTGAATACTCTGAATGAAATTTGTTGGGGTTGTGTTGTTTGTTTTTACAGGAAAGAAAAAAGCTGGTCAAGGAAGCCCAGAGAGAGAAGAGGAAAAATAAAATCCCTAAACATGTGAAAAAAAGAAAGGAAAAAACAGCCAAGGCCAAAAAAGGCAAATAGAATGCAGAGCCATGTTGTGGACATCCTCAGCTCCTTTGTGAACCTCAAGTAGAAGTTGTCGATGTGAGGATGGCTCCTTGACTAAATCTTAGTCTTCTCCATCTCACTGTTGGGGAAGACTGGGTGTGGTCATGGGGCTGCCTTGAAAGCCCAAAGCCCGTAATTCGGGATCCAGTCACTGCCCTGCTTTTAATGGATTTATTAAAGTACTATTTTAATGAAGAACTTGGTACATTTTATTTTTATATATTTTCTCCTACAAACTTTTTCAGAAGTATCATAAATATTTAAATGTGATGAACATCCACAGTCTTTATAAAATTGATCATAAAGGCACTCCAACTGATTTGGGAATATTTGTTTTCCTTGTACATGCCAAAGACACGTCTGAAATCAACTGATTACCAAGCTGTGGCTTATAGCCTGGAATTCCACTCGTAAGAGAATTCATCTGGCCGTGGTGTTGCAATTCACAGCAACTCTGTTCTTGTGTATTCTCTTGCTTGTTTGTCATGTGATCCCGCTTGTCTTTAGAATGCCTTTCCAGCTAGACCTTTCAGTTCAGAAGCATTTCACATCCGGCCATTTGTCATGTTCAAACATTTAGGTATTTTAGGTACTGGGATATAACAGTGAACAAAACAAAATTACTTCTTTTGAATAGTTTGCATTCTCATAGGGAAATGAAACATTAAACAAAGTAAGTAGCATTCTTCCCTTAGGTTACAAATTATATAGAGAAATAATGCTGAGTAAAGAGAATGCCTGGGGAGACACACGCCACACAGTGAGATACCTGACAAAATGCTGGAAGCTGAGTCCCACTGAGCTTCCTGGCCCTGCCATGGCTAAATGGAAGGATTCTAAGTTCTGGCCAGCCTGGGCTACTTAAAGATACAGACAACAAAGCCAAGTCAGTACAGCCGAAGGAAGAGTACTCCAAGTGACTCGAACAGCCATGGGAAGGACCCTGCAGGAAATGGCTGCAGCATCAGAATCAAGGGGCAAGTCATAGCTGATGGTGTACTGCTCATGGAGTTTTTTTTAGCACAGGAGTGACAGGATCATGCTTGTGTTTTGAAAGCATCGCTCTGGCAGCTGGAGAATTGAGACAGAGATGGAAGATGATTGGCTGTGCTTGTTGTCAGTCCAGGTGAAAGATGCTGGGAACTTGGCCTAGGATGCTAGAAGTGGATGTGGAGTTAGAGCCTAGATGTCCCCCAGAGGCCATATGTTAAAAGCTTGGTCCCAAGTTGGTAGCGGTATTGCTGAGTAAGGGTAGAACTAGGGAGGGGGCTTCGGTCATTTGGAGTGTTCTTGCTGGAATATTGGATCCTGGTGCTTTCCTCTGCTTCCTGGCCACAGTAATGCTAGCAGCTTTCTTTCATCACTGCTTTAATGTACTGTCTCGGCACAGGCGTCACAAGTCAGAATGAATGTTTCTGTTGGTTGTTCTCTCCTTTACCACCCATCTTTAGCTCAGGCACATTGCACTATAGGTACTCACTGCTACTGTTAACACTGTTTCTCTCTGGTATTTTGCACAGCCACAAGAAACATAACATATGCCCTTTGTATTATGAAATCCAGACTCCACTTGTGGACAGAGCTAGGGAACTTGTATGTTCAAAAATGCAGATAGCACTTTCAGTTTTACCCAGATCTTCACTTTTAAAACAGTGTTGACCAGTCATGGTGACACACTATTTTAATCCCAACACTGGGGAGGCAGAGGCAGGTGTGTTCAAGGCCAGTCTGGTTTGCATAACAAGTTCAGGGCAGCCAGGGCTAGGTAGTCACAGACTCAGTGTGGTTTGTCTTACCCATTTGGTTTGGTACTGTCGTCTATGTCCCTGAGCTGCTGCAAACTTTCATCATTCTCCCTTTGTTTTTTTCCTGTAACTGCCAATGACCAAGTACCTTGCATATTGAATTTACTTACACATATGACCTCAGACCACAATGTAACCTCACAAGGGTAGGGATTTGTCTTTGTTGTTTTGTATCCCAGCACCTATCATGTGCTGAGACATAGTCAATTCAGTAGATGTTTAATTGATGTTCTGTCAACTAAGCAAAGGCAAGGATATCACACATGCCTCTTATTCATAAAGATGGAAATTCGGAATTAATGTGGTCAACATGTACCCCTCAAGCTTGCCATAAGGCCATTTGGCTACCACGGAAAGTGCTCAACCCAAAAGGTTAGTTCACTTAATCCATGTACATATGTAGACGGGAATGGGGCAGCCCAGTCCATATTCTGATGCCTTGGCATGGAACAATGTCCAAGTTTTCTGAGGGGTGGGGTGCCAACTCTAGCCTTAAGCTCCCTTACTTGTTCTGATAACTTGCTCTGACACTGGAAAGTCACTTTCCTTTGGGGAAGAAGTCCTCATGTGTAAATTGTGGGATTTGGACCAAATGATCACAAAAACATCTAAAATTGATTCACTTGCAGTGTCTCATGTCGCCCAGGCTGGCTTCAGACTCCCTGTGTAATCTGATCCTTATGATTTCGTTTCTTTCCCAAGTGCTAGGAGTGTAAGTGTGACACCACACCGCTTGCCACGCTAGAGGGTATGAGACCTGAGAGAAGAGCCAATAAATGAGGTGAACTAAAGTCTCATGTGGTAGCCAACTTTACTCTGAGGGGTAAGAGGAGTCATGAGAGTAGTTTGTTTCCACAAGCATGTTTCCACAGAGGCGTAAAAACATAACAATGGCCAGCAATCTGAAGCACACTCTTCTATTCACTACACCTGGAGGGACACCCAAAAGCACAATACGGGAACAATTGCATGTTTTGAAGAAACTGAGACTCTTGTCTCGTTTCTTGGAGTTTTTTCACAAGTACTCAGAAATCTCAAATGACTCCATTCTTGGACCATGTTCTGACATCCTGTTGTATACAGTGCTGGGATTAAATCCCAGGCTTCCTACAGGCTGTGCATACACTAGATGAAATGAGACCATCCCTGACCTAAAATTATTTTAAAATCTATCAGATTGGTGTAATGAATTTGTTCCTGAGACAGTCTCACTGTGTTGTCCTGACTAGCCTTGAACTCAAAGACCAGATCAGTGTTTTTGAAAAGACTGTTTTAAACCCCAAAGGGCCAGGTTGGAACCACTTCTTGTTTATTAGAACTAAAATAAAGGGGTTTAAAGTGCAGGCCAGCACATAAGTCTGGTTTGCTATTACATGAATCATTAGCCAGCCTTTAGCATGCTGTTTTGCCATGGAATACTGTTAATTGTCCTCAAAGTTATTTTGTTCCACTAGAGGGAGATGTGTCCTTGAGTTCTGATGTTTAACCGGCATGATTGGCAGCAGATGCGCTAAGTGGCAGAGCTGTACTACATACACAGAGGGCGCCCAAGTTCATAGCCAAGTTCATCTCTTTCCCCTAAAGACTAACTGGCCTGATAATGGCACATTTGGTGCTTGGAGCCCCTGACAAACTTGCTCCTCAGTATATACTTTGCAGAAGTCGTAGTTAACCAAGAATGGAGTCGTGTGCTAGAGCATACCTCAATCTCAGCACTTGGGGGACAGAGGCAGGGCAGTCACATGTTGGTGGTTAGCCAAGATCAGACCTTGTCTCAAAACCACAACACCAGAAGTGGGTTTTTCCCTTGGAAATGATGCACATTCAGTAAGATGTTTACAGAAACACACCCCTGAAGGGCCGTAGACTGATGGTGTGGCGTGCTGTTCACTTGCTGATACTTCATCTTGCTGGACCTTGGTTTCCTTTCTCAGCTATCCAATCAAGACTGAATAGAGAACGGCTTAGGGGCCGCACTGTTCAGGGGCCGCACTGTTGGGGGGGGAGGGGGGGCTGCAGAGCACTGAGCATAGCTGGTGGAGAAGACACTTAGAAAACAATGAAGTAACAGTAACTTGTTAGTTGAGTACGTGTCAAAATGATATTTCCCATGTGCTGGGCTGGTTCGTCTCCATTAACATTGAAATTCCATAGGTGGTGCTGGAGGGCTCGGTGGACAAGAGTCTGCTTGGCAAACCTGACAACCTAGTTTAATTCCTGGATCCCACACTGGAAGGAAAGAACTGACTCCCAAAAGTTGCTCTCTGACCGCTACACATGTGCTATGGCACATGCCTGTTCCTCCCCCCCCATACTATATATACTATAGTGTGTGTGTGTGTGTGTGTGTGTGTGTGTGTGTGTGTGTGTGTGTGTATAGTAATAATTTTTAAGTAAATTCGGTATGTGGGGATTTTGTATGTACATGAGTAGGAAGAAATGGGATTTTTCCTCAATCTGTATAAACCAATTCTCTGTACTTTTCAATTTTCCTTATTAAGGAATCTTAATTACTAAAGAATAAAGGTAGCAAAATGGTTCAGTTGTTTTTAATGGCTCTTTATTTTTGGTTGTGAGCCTAGCCTTTAATGGCTAAGCCATCTCTCCAGCCCTTTAATGGCTCTTTAAATACAGGCAGGCTCTATATGTACAAGAAAACGGCTTCTTAACAAATAAGACATGAAGTAGAGATTGAGTATCTGTTATTTAAAATACTTGGGACCAGAAATGTAGGGTTTTTTGATTTTGCATTTTTTTACATAGGCTTTACTGGTTGAACATTCTGATTCATAATTGGAAATTTTTGATCATCATGCCATTGTTCAAAAACTCAGATTTTGGAGAATTTTAAATTTGGGGGCATTCACATTGTTCTTTGTTTCTTCTAGAGTACTTAGTTAACCTGTTGATTTGCTCAGATTTTTCTGCCAAAAGTTACTAGGGAAGACAGGCTGTAAAGATGGCTTAATGATTATATCACCAATTGCTCTTCCAGAGGACCAGGGTTCAATTCCCAGCACCCACATAGTGGCTCACAACCATCTGTAACTAGTTCCAGAGGATCCAGTGCCCTCTTCTGGCCTCCATGGGAACTGCATACACATGCACAGACATTCAGGCACTCATACACATAATATAAAAATAAAATCTCAAAAAGTCATTAGGAAAAAGAGCCTGGCTCCAAGCTTCCTTCCACTCTTCCTTCCAGACCATCTTCCTCCAAGGATGGTGTGGCTTTTAAATCTCTTGTTTTACAAACAAAAAAATCCCAAGAAAATTTTCATTCCACTCACTAAATAAATTCCCATTGAAATATTTTTGAGGTTTTTGATTATGAGAATGATGCCTCAGGAAATCACACATTTAACATATGGTGGGCACATCAGGACT